TCTGCTATCAGGAAGCTCATTTTCCAACATTCTTACCTTTATCACAATGCTAAGAAGTCTATCTAAGTATTCCTAAACATTTTCATAATCTTTCTTTCTTTATACCTCAAATTCTCTAATGATATTCATAGCTTTCATACTTTTGATTCGCTCATCTCTTTTGTATTGTTCATTTAAAAAATCCCAGATTGCTTTTGCTAATTCCGACGGCATGATTCCGGGAAAAGTTGTAGGTGATAGTGCAGCATATAAGCAAGATTTCATGTTGGATTTTCTTGTCTTCCTCTACTTGTTAAGCTTGACTTGAGTCATTGCTGGATTTCTTGGTAAAACAGATATTATGTAATCCTCCTCTACTAGTTCCAGAGATTAGTTCTCTCCATAAAACATTTGTGGAGAAATAGCAGAAGAAGCTGAAGAGTTTTTTGAATTCATGATTCTGATTTCTTTTCAAGGAAACAGGTAGGGACATTATTGATGGTCCCCTCAGACTACATTCAGAAGTCCCTTAATAAGAGGACTCCGATATAAATTTTTTGGTGTTAACAGCTAAAGAATAAACATACGACAGAAAAAGAAAAAGAGAGATATTACAATAAGTTGAAAGAAGAAATGTTTAAATAGAAGGAACGCCTAACAATATGAAGTAAATAACGTAGTAACTACAAAAACAGAATCTTCCTAATAAGTAGGCACTAAGGCTACCAATAACTCTACATGCCTAAAGACTAGGAAACTCAAAGATGAAAAACTAAAACAGGAATGCATATCCTCTAAAAACAAAAAATATAGCAACAACCATGTCATCATGTCAACTCAACATCAATTAACAACTCATGAGGCTGATTGTAACAGAAATAAAGTCAGTAAACTCTTTTATCTTTATCTTGGTTATACTTTTTTAAATTTAATGTGATAAACATTTTTTAATGATTTCTATTGTCGTCACAAGGATTCATTCTTTATTTTTAACTTATTTTGGTAAGTAAATTATCTATTTTTTTGCCAGCCATTGTGTACTTGAAATAAGCATTTACTTTAGTCTAAAACCACTCGAATGCAATTATCAAAAACAAATAGTCTCTCATTTAACAATTATCTATATTTTGTTTGATGATACATATTTCATATTAAGTTCAAAGCAGGTAACGTGCTCATTGTCCTTCAATTTGTGTAACAAATTTTGCTCTCTTAATTTTTGTAGTTAACATGGTCTTATGGTATTTTTTTCGTTTTATTAAAATTCAGGGTTCCAAAAATGTGAAAGTAGTGGTGGTAGAAGGAAAGCAATAAAGGGTGTGAACTTGACCACCAATAAATTTAAGGGTGGTTGCAACAGACGGCAAGTTTCATATGAGTGGAGATTTTTAGCTATTGTCCACGGAGCTTAGATGATTCTCTTGGAAGCAACATCCATTAAAATTTATAGTATCAAAATTTTCAGTTGAGAAACTTGTATTTTTTTCTGAATATAAATAGGAGTAATATAAAAGAATTTGGTTTGAATTTGTAGGTTCATTACTCGATTCTGCAATTTCACGTGTTTTGCTTTATTGCAACTAACTGAAAGAAAATCTTACAAGAAGTTATTTTGTTTACTTATAGTATTGTAGAAGTGTCAAGAAGTTGGATTGCAAATGCTTCAAATGTATTCTAAACATCAACGGTTCACGAAATCTCGAGACTTTGGTGCTTCAGAATTGCTCAAGTTTGAAGAAGATCTATCCATCAACTAGAAAATTGTATAGACTAAATGATCTGTCTTTGTATTGTTACAAAAAGATTATGGGTCTTCTCTATAGCACATGCCAGATAAAATCCCTTGAATACTTTGACATTAGTCATTATTCATCTTTACAAACAATACTAGCTGACATTGGAGATATGCAGAGTCTAAGGCATCTTCTTGCATGTGATACCAGTATAAAACAATTGTCTGTTGAAATGTCAAGAAGACCAAATTTAGAATCCTTTCGATGAACGTTCCACAAGATTATATATAGAGAAATATTGGGAGTTTATATAACTTAATTTCTCTAGATTTGAGCGGCAACAATTTTCTCTATCTACCATTTGGTTTTTTGAAGTTACTATTTTTGATTTCCTTGTGTTCGAATGATTTTAAGAATCTTCAAACACTGTTGTCAATATTGAATTTGGAGTACCTTGAAATTCTTGAACTTAGAAACTGCCAAAAATTGGTCATTACAACGTTGACAACCTTCCTTCAATTTAGAAGATCGACATGATTAATTGTACTTCTCTGCAGATTCCATTTGATGAAGACTTCTTTAGTGCCCCTACTCTATTGATTCCATTTAGGAAATATATGAGTATGAGGTTAGTCCTCTCTCTCTATCTCGCTCGTATCACATTATTAATTCTTTAGTTGTAACATCTCACAATTTTAGAAATCGTCAGGAAGAAGCTTAGAACTGGAAATAGGCATTTTTAAAAATTAAATGGATATTTACTTGAGTTAGAAAAAATGAGTTTTTGGTCAACTTCAACAGGTCATAAATCCTATCTCAGGATGAGTTGGGTGTATTTCAAGATATGGTTTGTATGAGTAAGTTATACCCTTTGTAAGTTGGTCTGTTCGGTTAAAGAATTGGCCAATCTGGATTTTAGAAGGGTAGGTTGATCTTTTCCTAATATCATGAGGCTTTTCCTATCACAAATCATAATCCTTGAATTCATAGTTCAAATGAAGGATAACGAAGGGTAAATCTAAAGTATTGTCAAGAGTCATGTCAAGAAAAGTTTATCCAAGATTTCAAAGTTCTTTTACAAATGTTTTAACTTTGTTTTAACACTTAAAGTTCACAATGAGTTAAGCAAAGAGTTCAGATTTGAAGTTCATTTCTTCAAAAGTATATGGGGACTAAATATTACGAAGGATTAAAAATGTTCACATTTAAATAAGAATGGAAACTGAGATTTCCAAAGATTCTTTGGGCTACTTTTCAAAGAAGAGTAATCGCCTTCTAATGAAGAAAGAGAGGACACATTGATTTCCAACGTAGGCTTTGGCCTAATTTTTTGAGAAATAATCTCAAATTGTAGAAGGAAGTATGTTTCTAAACATAAGAGCTAATATTAGATATTTTTTGGAGTAGTATTGAACACCGATATGAGGAAGAGTTCAGACAACTCACAGCCCCCATAAATCATCTAGCCACCATGAATAGAAAAGGGTCAATACTTTTAAGATGATTTCTTTAGTGCTTTATAGCATACACGAGTGAATCTACTTAGTAGTTTAGGTTCTATTCTAATGGATAGGTATAAAAATTCCCTGCAAGCATGAGGCAAAATGATGTATCATCACAAAAGCTCTTATGTGATGGTTCTCGATTAGAGAAACTGCTACATAATTTAATTTTATTTTATATACACACATACATCTCAGAGTTATATTGTATCTTTGAATACATATAGAGTCAATATCATGTTTTAACTAACTTTTCTTGATATTGCACTTGTTTTAAATTCCTCTATAATGAGTTCAGTCTTGTAGAGTTGATTTGAACCAAGTAAGTTGTTCAAATATCCGTTCAAGCCTATATTTTTATGTTAGCATTCCAACTAGCATACTCGCACATACAATGTATTGATTTCAGTTTTAATGCATCGTATAATGATCTAGATACAGGTAGCTAGGATTGACATCCAATGAGTGGTTAAGAGTTAGTTGGTGAGCCTTCTTGTATTCCAGAAGATCCATTTCATTGCTTTCAGTATTAGTTTTACATTCATTAGGATGTCGTGGGGCTTGTACCAAAATCCATCTCAGTTATTTTTAGAGGCTTCATAGAAAGATAATATTAGTTGTTTAGTCTTATTAATTTCAGTTGTATAGTTTAAGACTTGAGTTACCATTTTTTCTAAGATATTATATTTTTAAGTTATTACATGAACTTATCTTTGTTGAGTTTAAGTCTTCAGCTTAGTAAGTAAGTCAGAACAAGGGTTTGCTTGTGGCCAACAATGGTTCTCGAGTGCCAGTCCCGCCCAAGGTGTAGACTCGGAGTGTGACACTAATTATGTCTTTGTCTAATGAAGCAGGGTTATGAATACATCTCTAAAACAATGAAGTTACATCAATATGCCCATGTAACAAAATTATAAGTTCTTAGGAATGGTTCTCTGGTTTGTTTGTGACTTTAAAGTTTTATCCCATTATGGACTCATCGTTGTTATCATATCGAACAACACGCCTTTATTTTTTGAGTGGACTAGGTATATATGATAATTTCCCACTTTGGACGCTTCATTGTAGGTTGTTTGAATTTGAATTGTGTCTGTTTTGAAACAATCGACAAATTTATTTCACTAACTCGTAATTGGAATTACAAAGAAATATAAGAACAAAAATGGAAATTGAAGAACACAAGTAGAAGAAAGCGATGAGAAGCAGAAATCATAGAAAGGGGATGAGAGGACTAAACATGTTTCTCAAAAATTTGCCTAATCTCAAAATCACATATCACTATCCTTTTGATGGAACCGTTTCTTTACTATTACTTAGCCCAGATTCCATATTAACCTGATCGTATTGCTCGTTCTCAGCCCAATAACTCTTGTCAGATCAATAACGACTTATATGACATTAATATCTATATTGGGATGGACTTGATTCATAACCAAAATGGTGTTGCAGCTATTGCAGCTAGTTTGGAGTAAAACAGTGTTTTTTCAATCAACATACTTAGGACATGACTCAATGCACAACCAACATGGTGACAAAGGAACACACTTTCTACTTGAATCTGAAGCACATTGTTGACACATAATTTACTACAAGAAGAGGGTTTGAATCCAAATCACTCACCGCTACAGAGAAGGAAACCAAGTAGCTGATTTTCTTTTTGCCTTTTTCATTTTAAGGACACAGGTAGACACTAATACTAGTGTGCCTACTATACTCAAACATAGAGGAACAACAACCTATAGATCATAGAGTCAATATGAGTTGGTACATAAGAGAAATTGAGGAGACACAGGATTATCTGAAGTATGTCAATGCGGCTACAAGTGTGTTACTTCCGATCCGATCTTTCCATCACCACCTATAACTAGAGGTTGTCATTTGAGGTGTAGCCAAGAAAGAAATTAAGCAAACAAGTACACATTGGTACTCAGGACAAAAACTCAATCTAGATCTCAAGTAAATATATTGTTTGATGTTTAATTTTTTAGCCTTTTCGTGGTTTAGCCCTAAGCCCAACAACTTGGCTCGTCTGGGCTATCCGTGTTCACAACATATAATTCCATCCACATATGGATACAACATATATATACTACTCCCACACTTTAATAATCAGGAAGGAATGACATTGTAACATAATAAAAAGAACAAAAACAATTATTAAAGAAAATCAAACAAATAAAAAGTCTCAAATAAGTGTATTAATATGAAATATGATTGCAGCAACACATATCACACAGCCTTGACATTTTAGACGTCACAAAAAAGGAAACACATCATCCTTCAAAACCATCATTTGTCTTTGTTTTGAAATCTTCAAAACAAACAAACAAAATGAAATTAAACAATCACAAATCAGAGCAACCCAATGCTTCTTTGATTCTTAAAATTGTGGCGCTCAAAACACCATGAACAGAACCCGCTACCTCCATTTTATGCTGCCTGGAGGTTGGATTATTATTACCACAAATCATTATTTGAAATGTCACTGTCAAAATTGAACCATTTTGTGCACTTGCAGTGTTGTCCCTATTCGAGGAGAGACGACCATCGGGACTTATGATGATACCAGAGGGCAAAATGGGAACTTTCATTGCATCACCTCCATTGACAATTGAATTGATTGCTCGTAAATCTATGGGTGCATAGACTAAAAATGCTCCCATTTCATCAATACTCGTCTCTTCAAGCACTAACATTTCCTTATGCATATTATAAGGCTTTTTATGCATTACAATAATTAAGAAATATTAGGGTAAATACTATAAAAGAATAAGTGACGATAACTTATGTTGTTAAACAATAAAAAATTCATACCTAATCCTATTTAATAATGAATTATAAAAGGATTATAAGCAATCTTGTTAGCTATAGGTCTATAGGTCATTTAACAAAAGATTTACGAGGAATTTCATAGCTACGTCTTGTTCTTATTCATAGTGAAATATATTTAGCATTATCAGTTTACCTAAAAGATAGTTAAAGATAATTATTGGATCACCCAAAAAGCCAAGTGAAATTATAAATATAGAAATGAGACAAACAACAACTTTCTATAAATGGCTAAGCTATGATCAGTGTATATAAATTAAACATGAGAAAATTAGTTTTTGTTGTGTGTGTGTTGTAATTGTTAATTGACTACGAGTCAAAACTAAAATTGGATCGTAGAAAATTCCTTTTGATTAAATAATGAAAGAACAAAAAGTCAAAAGGAAAAAAAAGATACAAGTTTGGAAATTTTGGTATTTTTGCAGGAGAAAAAAGATAAATCCAGTCATACGTAATATTATTTGATTCTTGAAAAATGTCATTATTACATGCTAATTTAGGCAGAAATAGCTAATTATAAATAAATAAATATGACAAATACCTGAATAATCGTAATGTTGTTTCCCGGAAAAGTTCCTGTTAGTACTCGATCTAACTCAATCACATTATTTCCACCGGTCAAAATATCCCACTAAAAAAATCAAATGATAAACAATATCATAATTTAATTAACAAAAAAATATTTTGTGGGATGAGTATTATTTAAGATCACGTATTTAAAAAAATATATGTACAATCAATGCCAAGACTAGCAAAACATGTAGATAATATAATATGTAGGGGCTTGAAAAAATAAAATCGACCGATAAATCGAATCGAAAAAGTGTTATTGGTTTATTGCGATTAGATTACTAGTTTGGTATATATTTTTTTAAATATTGGGTTATTAGGTAAACTATTTTAATCCTAATACACTACTTATTATGTTTGCCCTTTAGCCTTCCCTTCACACTTCATAGTGACTTTGAGTTCATAATTTCACATTATCTAAATGTCTAAACCTAAATTAAGAATCTTAGTGCTCTTACTCTGTGTGTAAAAATTGTATAATTTTTGTAAGTTAGTTATTATTGTTTTATATTTTATCTGTATTTGTACACTTACATTATTATTTTATCGCATCAAATTATTGGAGAAAATCATATATTTTAAAATCATTCTTATTAGTTAAACTGAAAATTGAACTTTTAAGGACCAAATTCAATTAAATATATCTTATTGGTTTGATTTTTGTTTAGCATATTTAAAAACCAATAAACATAACCTATAATATATCAAACAAACCGAGGTGACATATGCACACTCTGGTAACCAGGGAACATAATATTAACAAATCAATCATATTCCAGACTTTAACTAATTGTTTTAAGAAATTCTTAGCACTGAACTCTTTATATTTTAATATTAACATTATAATATTTATTGAAATAATTGAGAGTTTTACATAAAAATCTATACATGAATTGAAAAGTAAATTTCTATATGGGTATTTTTAGGGGTCATTTGGTTAACAAGATATACAAGGATTGAAAATGTAAAATTACTTCTTTTCGTAGATGTTTGGGTCATTGCATAAAAAGTTGAATATCAATGCAAAGATATATACGATCATTCCTTTTTATGACAATCATTTCCTATAATAATATTTCACCTATTAGATACTTTACCAACAATATATTATTTGTAATCGCACAATGTGGATCCTGTAGAGGGTAGAATATACACAAATCCTACCCTTATATCTTGAACGAGAGAGACTTTTTTCGAAATACCCTCAGCCAATTCAATGTATAATCAAAGTTTTATTCGGAAACAACATAAATTTTATGTTATATTATTATGTTCTCTATAGTAACATTTCTTTATAAAAACAACAAAAAAATTCTAAACAATTTACATTATTATAAAGAGGTTCGACACATACCTGATTTCTTGTCTTGTCATCATTGAAGAAGCTGAAGACATCTTGGAATGAAAGAGGAAGCCATACAGAAGTAGTTGCAATGGCAATAAAGCCTTTTGGTTGGATAGTTTCTTCATTTTTTCTTATTGAAATCCTATCTCCACGGTTTAACTGTGGTGAGATTGAAAAATCTCCATGGTTGTCTGTCATGCATAGAATTTCAAAAAAACTCTTAACCATCCTTTAAGATACTAGTATGGTCTTTTTTAGCCCTTCTTTGTCATGAAACACTGAAAGTAAAATGAAATTTAAATATTACAATAACATATATATCTAGTATAATTCCACAAGTGATGTCTGCAAAGGGTGGTCATATCCAAGTTCAGTTATGAAAAACAAATACATAAGGATATAAAGGATACAACATGTAATACTAAAGTAGAAATAAAATATTAGGAAAGTAATTATAACAATATTAATAAAGAAACAAGATAAGTGTGTCTTTTTTGTTTTTTGGAAAATATTTTTGTAGGAAATCTATTTTTATTGTTATATTTTGTTTTAAAATTACTAAATATATTTTCTAAAAAAAATTAACTTCTATTAAGATTGATAAAAAATATTAACATATTGGATAGTATATTGATAATATTTCTACATGTTAAAGATAATAATAATATTTGAGTGTCGTTAAAGCATTGATATAATACTCAAAGTTGAAATGATTGTAAAGAAAAATGACTTTACACGGAAAATGCGAGAAATGGTCATTTTTCCTGCTCCTTTGATTGGAATTTATTTTCTCTATAAATTATTTCTTGGCCAATCAATAAACATAAACAAAATAAATAATTTTTTAATGGTTTAAATCATACCAAACACACCCCTTAAGGAAATACCAAAAGTTTGAAAAGGAGATGTTTCAAATTAAAAATTAAGAAAATTGTCAATAAAAATGACTTTCGAAATTAAAAGAGTGATCATGTTCCGAGCCCATTAAAACAAAAAAAATTCACTAGTCGAACGTGATTAAAATACATATTATATATATACCTCAAAGATTAAAAAAAATAAAAGGTCATATTTCAAACATATAAACAAAGAAAAGAGATGGATCTGGAACCCCTTCAAGATTTTAAAGTTTTTAAGTAAAGTTGCCTTGAATTGATGAAAAAATTACAATTGATTCTTTTCTCACCTTATAAATTAAAATTCAAAAAAGTAGTCAATAAATAAAGGGAATATAAAATCAAACCTCCTTTGGAATCATGCCTGTTAGGGTATGTTGAACCCATTTGAAAATTAAATCTCTCACACATCCTTTGAAGTGTAACAATCCATCTTTTAGCTCCGTATGCTTCACAATCACACAACAAATCTCTAAAGATATGATTAACCTGATATTTTTCATATACTTGAACATGTTCCACCCAAGTAACCTGCAAGAGCAAAAATAATCAAGAAACAAGAATACAAATAATTAACTTAGTTGGAAACAATAAGGAAAACGTGTTTGAAATTTGTGTTTTTTAGCAATGGATGTCATAAGGCAAGAATTGTAAAGGACCATATGAGGAGAAAGAATAATCCTCGCTCTTTTGATTCAAACATCTGCGACATGAACAACAGTGTATAGGCCGGAGATCAACATAAAAATGAAGAATAACAACTCTAATAGCATGTTAAAAGGATAGTTATTGAATCTAACTCAATCCTAAAAAAAACTTATCAGGTTGTGGGGGATTTTCCAAGGTTATACACAAACAAAAAATTTATTTTCTAAAACAATATGTGGACATTTAAATAGCCCCCCATGCAAGTCCGAAAGATGATCAATCGGAGAATAAATTAACAACATCACATGACGACCAAAATTAGGTAAATCGAGAATAAAGATATTTTGACTCTTATATAATAGTAGAAACAATAGACATCATGAAATAGACATAAATACGAGTAAATTTGTACCTATTTAAATGACCATTTGAAAAATAAGCTACATATATATAGTGATATGTATGTTACCCGTTAGACTTGTAGAGTAAGACTCCAATACTCAAACAACTGTGAACTATAGCTAGAAACAAAGACTCTCTATGGATCCAATGGCTGCTTACTTATTTCATAAAGAATAGGAAGGTTGAAACTGTCACTTTACCTACTACTACTTTATTAATAGTGCAAAAGACTTTGAGTACAAGAGATATGATAATCCCAAGGCAAAATGGGCAGGGTGAGTTGATGATCGACTTTGCAAAGGCACAAAAAAGTGGGAAGTTTTCTACCAAGAAGCTGAATAACTATATCATGCCTACTTTTACAAGAGTAGAATGGAATAGTATTACTTTGCAACGAGGAGTACATCCAAGATTCAAATTCATTTTGAGGCTAGTTGTGCAGAAAATATTAGCAATTGTTGAAAGACATGAAAAGTTTGGTTTTCAGGTGTCATCTTAATTTGTATTCTCTAGTAACAGAAAGGAAACCTTTGAACCTATTTGTTTTGATTGCCAAGTGACAAAGACATTATGAGAAAGAATGTGCATCTGGATAGAAATACCAAAAAAGTATTCACAACTGAATCAAGACTAGTGTTTTTGTGCGGATTGAATATATCATTTAGAGAAAAAGAACAAGATTAGCTTCAATCGAGTAAGACTATATGCTAATAAGGTCTTTATAGAGATTGTACTGCATATTCATCTAAGAGGACAACACAAGGAAAGATGGAAATATATTAGAAACACTATATGAGTATCCTCAAAGTAGCATTTCCTTTGTAACAGATTAGTTTCTTGATTTTTTTTATGTATGAGTAGGAAGTTAGATTGTTAGAAGAGAAGTTGTTATGGGTGTTTCTATGTAATTATTTGTTAGTACATGAAAATCCTTGTGATAAAAAAAATAAAATAAATTTCAAGAAAAAATGCATCATAAGACTACATACAATTGACCCCAGTAACATGGACCACATGTATAGAGGGAGCTTAATGCACATAACTTTCCTATTATATAAATATTGATATTGAGAGAGGATATGATTCTTAATTTACTTTGGCCATTGCCCATATCTTGAATTGCACAACCAGATGGAAACTTCCAAGAATAAGAAGGTACACCACTGTGAATGTCATTGAAATTATCATATGAAATATCCACCATGATCCATGTTGTTGAATCAAGTTGCTTACAACCACGTATGAAGAAAAATTCCCTAGCTTCAACTAGAGGAGATAAAATATGAAACTTTTCATACCTCTGAATTCAAGAAACAAAAAAATGACCATTTTATGAGTCAATTTTAATATTGATTTAACTTCTAGGGGAAAAAACTAAAAGATGGATTAACATTTTACCAATTGCATAGAGCCTCCCCATGTACCAGAATCAAGAACTTCAATAGTCTTAGCTTTTGTGACTATAGTAGGAAACAAGTTCATCCATTTGACCTACATATAAAAAATAATTATTTTTAAGCATATGATTAATTCTTAACAAATAAGTATGACAACTATGTCTAAAAATAAGTACTGATTGTCAATGTCCATAACTCCATATAAACTCATCTTAATCAATATTGTATGGGAGAAAGTTAAAAAGTGAAACGGTATCAACCTATTGAGAAATATAAAATTTTTTGAATTCATGACATTGAGTTAGAATTCAAAATATCATGACAGTATCTTAGATCTCTCACTTGCTCAAGTTCGAAATCCATGATATTGGCATGGTATGTTTCCACATGAGAAGTGGTAAGTATCCAACGAATTCTCATATAATGGCTACTTTTCAAAAATCAACTAGCGCGCCCAGTATTTTAAGCATATATATATATATATATATATATATATATATATATAACATGAAAATGTTCATGAAACTTACTGGATCAAGAAAATTATGGATCAACTCAACTGCAGTCATTGACACAATTCCACAATCCTTTGATGATTCAATTCGACCCGTTGATGTTTGGGGAGGTAGAACTTGATTTGAAAATTTTCTTCCATAAATCTCACGATGAATAAAACACCGCCTATAACTTGATGAATCTACCCAAAATGGATCATTCATCTTCCAAAGTTCAACCATTTCATTCATAGAAGCAACAACAGACTCAAATATAATTGTTTGTTGCCTGCTATCATGATTACATTCATCATGTTCTGTTGGTGATAGAGAGATCATTGAATGTGCATGAACATTATTACTATTATGATTGTTTTCTTGACATAGAGGAGGATTTCTAATGGGAGATCCACATATATCTTGGTTCAACAAACTTCCATCAGATGAATTTGAAGATGATCAAAGAGTCGATATTTGTGGTGACAAAATTGAATCCATCACACAAGGTCTTCCAAAAACACGTGAGATGAGATTTGATACTTTTTCATCCTGAAAAAATAAAATTTTAAGTTAATTTACTTAAATAATAGGTACGTATCTAAGTAAACATATTTGAGAAGTGTATAATTTTCTATTAGTTTATATAATTTCAATTCTTTCAATAAATTAATTGATTGTGAGTTCAAGATTATCTCTCTTGTCAAGGGAGTGCAACTCATATGCACGGGGTGGAAAGAAATCCAAGATATAATTTAACACATTTAACACTAGTGTAAATCTCATTAAAATGAGAATCACTTTGTTTAACATACTATCACGACCCTAACAAGGTTTGAGCTCATCTATCCCTAAGGCCCTTTGTTATGGATAGATGAATCTTATCCATACTATCACAACCCTTGGTAGTAGGATTGCAAAGATTAATTGTTGTACTTATAAAATTATCGATCCAGAGATAATATTATTTGATCTTACTCCTTCATTTTTTATTATATGTTATGTTCTAATACCTTAAATTCTGGATTAATCCATCAAGTTCAAACCATGAATTTGCCTCATTTTTGTTATATATAAGTAATTCTTTTAAGGATAAATAGAAAAATTAACATAAAAAATAAAATAAATCGGATAAATAGAAGGTTGAATTACCTGTTCTGTCAACCATTGATTTTTTGCTTTCATATTTTCTAAATTACATTCTCTTTCTTCTTTTCCAATAGGAAGTCCGTCACATTTTGGACACATAATATTCTTCATTGCCTCTTTCATTGCCTTATATTCACAAAGAAATTTTTCTTTTTATTTTCAAAGAGCATTGTTAATGGATGTCTCAATTTTAGTTTGATTAAATATATATATGAAGAATTAATCGCATATCGAATAACAATACGAACTTAATATAACATATAGGTAACTAAATAATTGTACAAATAATTATTATGTTAAATTTTTATTCTTCACAAATAAAGGATCAATAGTTCACATTCCAATAAATTGAAGATTTATGTATTGAGCAAGATATTACTTGTATTAGAATTAGAATATTATAATAATTGAAGGACAAAAAATGCTACTTAGCATTTTTATAATGCTTGAAAAATAATCTTTTCCATTCATCTTTTCTTAAAAGTTCAAAATTCCATTCTATTTTTAACCACATACACATTCTTCCTCGTATAAGAAATATATTTTAATGAATTTTTACTTACGTGAAAAAATTAATCCAAGAAAATTTAGTTTGCTCAACTTGCCTAAATTTAACTAGAACTTCTTAACCACATATTATCTGAATAACTACAACTACCCATAGCTCCCACAACTAAAAACTTCTATATGATATCCATTGTACTGATCATATTCAAGCTTCACCATTTTCTCCTCGGTTTGTTACCTAGTATCCTCTTCTTCCTCTCCCTTACAATCAGAAATCCCCCTGATGGAGTTCGTATTAGGTCATTAAATTGTCACTCGGGATAACCAACATTCTTTATGAAGAACTTTATGTTCCTTCCTAAGAAGCAAATAGTCTATATGAGTTTTATCTACCGTGCTATGAAAGGTGACCAAGTTCTCCCCCTCCTTCAAAAAACTTGAATTGACCAACACCAACCCAAAAGCTATTGAAAAATCCATAAGTGAGATTCCTCCGCATTCTTGTCCCTGAAACTGAAACCTCCATACTAATCACTACACCCCATTGGAGTAGACTCGATGTGACCATTGAAATCTCCTTCTATGAATAAGTTCGTTGTATTTGAAACACCTCCACCCACCTCGTTCAAATCCTCCCAAAAAGTCTTCTAGTCCTCCTTGTCCAAGACAATTTGCAGAGCGTAAGCACCAATAATGTTCAAACTGGACTCTCCAATTACTAACTTAATCATCATCATCCTATCATTGATTCTCCTTACCTCAATCACTTCCTCCCTAAGCTCACAATCCGCTAAGATGCCTACTTTATTCCTAATCGTTACACCTTGCGAGTAGCACAACTTATACTTATCCATATCACACGCCTTTTATCCTTCTTATTTGGTTTCCTGGATACAAGTTATCATTCTCTTTTTGAGAATCTTCACTAGCTCTACGAAATTTCCTATCAAAGACCATACTCTTATTCTAGATGTGATAAATATAGTCATGTTAAGGAAATAACATGGTTTGGTAATCAAACAATTAACTAGAAAATTAATTTTTTGATTGAAGTTGAAAAATTGGGTTGCGGTCTACTTTAAGCCCAACCCAACCCAAATAATTTATTCATCGCTTATTTATCTATACAAATTATTTTTACTAGCCTGGACTTCATTCAATTGGTCCATTTAATATTTCAATATTTCCTTCATTCAACAAATAATCCTGAAAAGGAAATCATTTGTTTTGAGTGGCAAAACCAAATTTTTCTGACTTTAAATTCTCAAAACCTAGAAGGGATTCAATTTTTTTGTCGATTTTGTAATTCCTTGCTGTTTATTGAACTTGCTAGGGAGTTCATGCACTTTGAATTATTTAAAATGATTGTATTATTGATTTTATTAAGCAACAACTTAATTGACTTAGAGGTTAGATAATGAAAATAATTTAGATGAAAAGAAATTTCTTTAATAAAGTTCATATATTAATGAGAGAACATACTTTCAAATCTATTGATCAATTCAACATAAAAAATCAAATTAGTGATTTAGGAAAACTATATAGAAATTCAAAAGTGAAATAATCAAGAATGAAATTTATTGTACGCGGCCCGGGGGGTTGGTGATAGTGGAAGTAAATAACTTCATTATAAAGAGGAATAAATTATCTTATGTATTCACACATTCTAACAACTTTTCAAAATATAGAAAAAAAATTACCAATAGATCACTGCTTTCATTAAATTGATTCAACTTTTATCATTACTTTTTCTAGATTTTGAAAATTTTAATGAAAAAAATATATTAATTTGTTGTTGTGTGTAAAAAACAACAAAAACAATAACATTCAATCAATTAAGTACAATTGACAATATATAAAAGAATTAAATAATCAAAATTACCTTTGCTTGATCCCTTCTGTTTTGGAACCAAAACATGACCTGTTTATGGTCAAGCCCTGCTTCACTAGCCAATTGTTTTTGTTGATCCTCATCTGGATGTGGGCATTTCTTGAAGAATCTTCATTCAAAAATTTATGAAGAGAAAATATTATTGATCATTTAAAAAAAACCAAAAAAAATAACAAAAAAAATGATATAAATACATGGTGGATTGACAAGTATTTCTCCATCATTAATCAGGTCTTAAGTTTGAGCGTTGGTACTAAAACTTTGGTAAGGAACGTTTAACCCTAAAATGGGACTTGATTCCTCACTTGAATTTGAATTTGTTGGGCCCTAGATCAACTACCATGTACTCACTAAAGATTGAGAAGTAGTAAGTACTCTTTTATCCTTAGCTAGAAGCCTCTTGTTGAGTCATGGGACAAGAGTTGTTTCCATTGATTGGGAGGGGTTTAGCCCCACCCACCCAGCCCTAAAGTGAGACTTTGTGATGAAAATCTGAACTACGCTGATCCTAAAGTGTGATTTTTCAATGCAAATCTTGATTAGTCAGTCTCAAAAGATAGATTTAATATGTGATCTAAGATTAGTTGGGCCCTAAAATGAAATTTCTCGACACAAAGTTAAATTAGTCATACCTCAAAAGGGGTATCAAACATAATGGGAAATAGATTGTTTGTGATTTTGGTGCAAAAATTTGAAAGACATTGAACTTTAACGAACTCATCTTCTTATGCTAAAGTCATAAAGAATAAACAAGTTCATTTATAATGATGTATATATAACAGATTAATCATCATGATAAATTATATCAAAACCATTTTAGCAACTCAACAAAAGAAAACAGGAAATGTGTAATCAAAAGTACAAATCTTCTATTAAATATAGTGGACATGTGGGGAACAAGTATAAAACCAAAAGAAAAATCAATTAAAATAAATAAATATCAATTGATGCACAAAAAATACATACAAAAAGAAAATCAAATATTCTATCACTAATGAAATTTAATTTTACCACTGATAATTAAATTTTACCACTGATGCAGTTTAAGAAATTAACATCATCTCTTTGAACAAAAAAAAAATTGAACAGATATATCCGAAGGATCGAATTAATTTTTTTTTTAAAAAAGTTGATCTTACGCATCAAGTCTTTGAATTTGTTCCATATAATGTTTGTGGTATTGTCCATGCCTTTTCGATCTTTTTTGCGAATTTGATGATTCTCCAGCCGGTTCTTCCCCCGAATCTTACATTTTTTTTAATAATTTTATGTTTGATACAACAAAATAGCAAAAGAAACAAAAAAACTAAGTGTTAATCTATTTGATTTATTATGTAAACAATTTATTTATATAAGAAACAACTAAAATAGAACAAAAAGAAAAAAAATAAAAGAGAATTTTTTTGACACACCTTTTGATTGATGAATAGCTATAGAGAAAATCAAATATAAGTGGTCTATTTATATAGTAGTTGATTGTACATGTGAAAGATACATAGAATCTGATATAAAAAAAAGGAGGAGGGGGGGGGGGGACTATAAAGAATATTAAGGGTTTGTTTGGAAAGACACCATGATAATTCAATTTGGTGTAATTACATTATCTGACCTATCACTTGGTCAGGAGGTAAGTTCACTTTCCGATTCCTAGGAAGGAGATGTAAATTTTTGATAATTACATGGTATTATTATAATATAATTAATTGTTAATTCTTCTTTTTATTTTTATTTTTCCATTTTAATTTATTTTCTATTATTATATATTCCTTTTCTATTGTTCATTATTCTGGAATTTTCAAAAAGTTTCTTTTTTATTGTATATTATTTATATTTTATTCCTTTATCACTCTCAACCTTTACTTCATGTGATTCTATGCAATTATTTTGCATTCTCTATTTTTCAAACATATTTATTTATTTCATCAACATAATTTTGCTAGTATTTTAAAAATTATATTAGAATTCAGAGTAAGATTATAGACTTATGTTTTCCTATTCTTTTCAATCATATGCATAAATTTCATTTTGAAATTTAACATAGAAATATATATTATATTTTTGTTGAGTCTAGAACTTGTGTTATATTTTTAGTTTCATTTGTTTTAGTAGTATTCATTTGAATCGTCACATTGCATGTTCTTTTTTTAATAGACTTGATACATTATCTTTTTGTCACATTGTATGACATAATATTAATCTTTTTGTCTAACATGCATTTCTCTCTCTCTCTCTCTCTCTCTCTTTATATATATATATATATATATATATATATATATATATATATATATAGATATATATATATATATATATATATATATATATATATATATGTATATGTATATGTATATGTATATGTATAAATCATTTATTAAGTTTCTTATTTTTCTAATCTAAATTTTAAATAATTAATTTTTAATTTTAAAATTTAATATAACATTATGGTTGCATTTGTACATCAAAACAACTCATGTGTAATTATAGTTTAATTCCACTGTGGCAAATAAGCAAGTCAATGTCATTACAAGATTGTATAATAATTATGTTGATATTTACTATTCTAATAATTACATCAATTCTTTCAAACAGACCAAAAGCGTGAGAGTGAAGATAAAATAGGAATTTGAATGTGTTTTGGTTTCTCTCTTAAATGATTTGGTTTGATATAAGTAGATATGGTAAGTAATTTATAAATTTTATATTTAAATTGCAAGTTAATTCCTTAAATGGACATTTGAGAACAATTTTTTCCTTCAAATCACATAATTAATTTTCTAGTAGTAAAATCACAAATTTTTAAACCATTTTTTAAATATTGAATCTAATATCTCACAAACTCAATTAAAAGAGGATAGACAAGACTAGACCCCTGAAGAATTAAGGAAAAATGTCATGGTATATACCTCTCAAATTCAAAATTTAGAGTTTATATATTCTTTGTTACAAAAGTAACTCGTATACACTCTTATTATTATATAAATAGCTCAAATATATCATATTTGTTTAATGGGAGTAAAAAAAATTCTTAAATTTATTTTATTTTTTTTGATATATTATTGAAAAGTAGAATCTATATAGGTATATTTGATTTGTTCGCAAAGTTAAGAGTTATTTCCCAAAGATAAGAGTTACACTTGATCTTTCTCAACTATGAGTTTTTTTTCCAACATTCTATAATTAAATGAATATTTAAATTTTACTATCTTAACTAGGTAATTTTTTAACGCTTCGCGCGGTCATAAATAATAATTGTATTTGTAACGACCCGCTAGGTCGTTTTGAAAACTAGGACTAGTTTGACTCCATTGAAAAATTTTAAGGGTATTTTTAAACTATTAGATAACTATGAGTACCCAATTGATGCAACTTTTATTAAATAAGTAATATAGATAATAGGTTAGTGGGGTTTCACGGTTAATAAACTCTTGTTTAGAAAAAAATATGGATGCGAAACCTTACCACAGGCGACCAGCGAGAGGGAGAAAAATCATAGCCATTGTTCAGGTAAAGATATGAGATATTCGTTCTTTTCAATTCTTTATATAGTAATATATTGTCGGAGTGCTTGGGATCATGTTATTATTTTATGCTATATTGATAATGGGTGAGAAGAAATAATGGGTAAGTTGGTGATGATTACTAAATTATATTACATTGTTAGCAATTGGGTTAGTATTCAAATATAAATATATATATATATATATTCAAGATTTGGAGTTTGTTGAAAAAAATGAGTGAGTGTTAGCGTCTATGATAGACATATAATAATTTGAATGTCTCCAAAAATTGCTTACTTACGAATATTGCAAAATTTGTAGATTGGGAATGTTTCGAAACCTTGTGAAAAGGAAAGGAAAAATCTTAAAAGATTCGTGGCACAAGCTCGGCATCTAAGATATGTCAAGACTTTTTAGACTTGTTGAAGGACGTTTTCCTAATTAAAGATTAAAAAATGAAAATAGACAAGGGGTAAGGGGGAAAGATGGTGGTCTCGTATCAATGGTGTGACGGGCATTGGAACGAGTACCGGTGTTATAAAAAGGAAAAGTACTATTATAGAATGTGGACTGAAATTTGAGAATGCCAAAGCATATGGGCATTAGCTGATATTTTATTGACTTGAATTCCTTGTGTGATTGTGTTTTATTTATTTCACCCGTATAGTTGAGATAATTGAGGTGGTTATGTATTTATTCACATTGATTGATTGAGATGCATCATCATCCCCTCTATTAAAACAATATTGTGCACATGCATAGAGATGAGACTGAGTATAAGTTTGGCACGTGGAGATCGTCCGTGCTGGGGATGGTGAGATGTTAAGATTGTAATTTGGGCATGTGGAGACCGTCCGTGCGAAAATTGTTTGATATTATGATAGTGCGTTGAGATCGTCCGCACAGATACGTGGAGATCGTCCGTGTCGGTATATGGACCTCGCGAGTCCCCCATGGGTCATGAAATCTCGATGTATTTCCGAGGAGTATCATGTATATACAGTCGAGTGAGTACAGGGTATTCTGAGACATATCATTACATGGCATCATATTGCATTGCATTTCATCCCATCATTCATTCTTGATGACTATATGTTTCGTTTGGTGTTTGGAAAATATTAAATGTTGATTTCATTTATTGATGAAACTTAAATAGTAAGTGTAATTTATATATATACTTGTACAATCTAAGAATTTATTTTCTAATATAACTCCCGTCACTACTTCTTCGTTGTCGGTCAATGAGACATATTAGGTACACGTGGTTTCGTACTCATACTACACTCGCTGCACTTTTTGTGGTGCAGATTGAGTGATTGACTTTCAATTTGGGAACGTTCTTCGAGATTGGATATGAGTTTGAATTATCTTGGAGTTGTGGTGTGCTGTTTGGGATATTCTGCGGCCCACACCTTTAGTCTACCTCTATTTATTAGGTTATTTTGTTATGCTGATAGGATAATTCTTAGGTTTAGATTTTTATATTAGTTTGGAATTGTATCATATTGTAGAATCTCTTGTACTTATGACACTAAATCTTGGGGTAGTTTTATTTATATTCCGCATTTATTTGAATACTTAGTATGTTAGATATTAGTTTGATACTTATCTTTCTCATGTTTAAGTTGAATTGGTGATACTTGTTGGGTTGACTTACCTATCGGTTGGGAACATAGGTGCCATCACGACTCGTGATTTTTGGGTCATGACAAATTGGTATCAGAGCCCTAGGTTCATCAGTCTCACGAGTACAAGAGCTGAGTCTGTAGAGTCTTACGGATAGGTGCGGAGACGTCCGTTACTTATCTTTGAGAGACTACAGGAATTTAGGAAACTTTCTTCTTTCATTCCTTATCGTGCGTGTGTGGTTTGGTTTAAGGTCAAAATTCTTGTTTCATTCTCTCTCCAACGGTGAGGAGACATTTTCAAATTTGACATTTGTGGTAGGGGATGATATTATGCAGTTTAGTACGTAAGTTGTGTGGTTATAAAAATAACTTAGTATTGAGAATTTCGAATTTTAATAATGAAATTGATGAGGTTTGAAATAGTAAGAACAACTTTCTCAAGGTGTGATTTAGACAAGGATACTTGAACTTCATTTGAATTTACTAGGGACAATTTTATAACATGTGTTTATGATATGTGAATAATTAAGTAATGAAATGGTATATGTTGATGCCTTGAAGATAATGATAAGATTAGGAACATTCAATTGATCAAATAAGAGTTTATCCGTAAGGCTATGGGAAAAAGTTGAGTAGAGATATAAAATGTGATCACTTATCATGATGTTGAGAGACTAATATTTGTTATAAGATTTGTATGACATATTTCCCTTTTTATCCTTTAGAGTGGAGGTATATTGAAGATAAATTGAATAGTTCAAGTTGAATGGCACGATGACCATATTGATATGTCATTTGATAGAATCAACAAGGTGAGTTAAGTTAAATACATCAAGAGATTATAAAAGTCTATACTAATATCGACTAGCAAGAATATTTTAATGAATAATTAATAATAAATAGTGATAAATTCATATTGCGGGGAGCTTTTTATATATTGTATTAAGGATCAGTAATATTGTTGAAATTGAGAGGGAAGAAAAAAAAATTCTTTTGTCAAAGGATGTTGGAAAGGATACTTGTATGAAGCTATATGAGAACATTTGTAGAGATGAGTACAAAATAGTTATGAATCAATACACAGATCATAGAACAATATAGTGATGATTGGTTATATTACCTC